TTTTTGAGAAGCATAACAATTGATTATTGATAAAATGACGCAATATCTTTGTTATGAGAAATACAGTGAAGTTTAAAAATATATATTTGTATTGTTATTCACGCATACAGTCTAATGTCAACTAATTCATTGCTTTCCACGTCAATCGAATCAGTCGAAGCTTTTAATAATGCTCATCTGTCCCATACTCAGTTCCGCTGTCTACTTTATACTGCTCATCTTCCTAACTGAACACTATTGATCGATTACCTCCACATTCTACTTCGTGTAGACTTACCCCACCACAGTCGCGTAGCATGTAATCTCAACTAACGGGAAACTCGTTGAAACAAACCGCCTACGTGTATTTTTCAGCGCAATGTAGTGCACATAACTCGAATGATGTTCTCGATTTTACACAAAAACTAAGTAGTGAGTAGTAGTATTTTACTACTGTAAAGAGAACGCGATAAAAGAAAAAGGGTTTCACCGAATATGTGCTGTGTTTATAATCCGATAATCCGTAAAATTAACGTCTGTTTTCCGGTCAGATTTTATCATCTGGGGTTATTCATTTTCTACGGGGGGCTGTTTTGTAATAGTAAATGATTTTAGCGGCACAGGTGAATCCCATATTCACGAAGATCCGATCAACAGTTAGTGAAGTATGTTGTCGGATTATCTAATAAGGATATATTAACATTATGATTGAAAAATATGTGCCTAATGCACCAGGTGGTTGTAGAGTTACTACGACTATTATGGGGATTTGAATTCTGGTGTAGTGGGTGACAGGACACCGTGTTTAAGCAATCAAGTTAGACAAAAATCACCATATGCAGCGATGATCAGAATGGGATCTTTATCATGACATCTGAAACCAGTTGGGTACTAATCACCTTATCAGGAATGACTTCTTCAATCAAAGGCACACACTATCATTCAATCTGAATGAAACAATCAGCAGCAGTTTGTGAGATACTACTGAAGATTATCGAGTATTGTGTCTCCATCGCGATCGAACATAACTTCAAAGCAGACTTAATATCAATCATTTTCATCAACAAATTTATGAATCATTTCAATCGATTGTGATTCAGTGATGAAGAATAATGTTAAATTGATGAATGATTAGTTCATGTTTTAGACGAAATTCTGATGGGTTGTTTTTTAGAACCAAGTGCCAGTCTCCATAAAGATTTTCTTTTTATGATTTCCAATAAGATAAATTATTGGTAATATTCCGTTTTGCATGAATATTTGTCGGTGGAATTGAAATATTTTTAACCAAAACGACAGAGTGGTGAACCAGCTCGTTTTCAGATATTCGTATTCATACCAGTGCATCTCAGTATCTATCATTCCCAGGAAATGATATATATATTGAGCCTCCTTTGGTTGTAACCAGTCATGTGCATCACACACATAATGAGATGTATTGGCATGAATACGAACGAATCTGTGAAAACGAGCTTGTTTGCCAGTCTGTTGTTCTGGTTGAAATGTGTTATGTGGGACCATGCCGACAATTAAAACATTTTCTACGATTTTCTTTCATTCTCATTACGTTTATAATAAAGTCAAGTTATTCTGTTTGCACGAAGCGGTGCGTAGCTTAAGCAGTTCAATCTCACCCCGAAGGTTTATGATAACTGCCAAGTCCATTTGGGCTTTACAGACTGCATAGCCATTTTAACCCCCTGCTCACAAAATCCCCATTAATGATATATACTACATATACAGGTTTCATTCAATGACGCTTCCTCCCTCGCCTCGGCCCCCGGGCGAAACAGATATGGGTATGTCATTCAATCGTTCGCATGGAGTCGTAGTGACATTCATCGATTTATAAAGATGTTAATCGCATCGTAATCCAGTAAAAACAGAAATTACATTTACTATTATGATTCTACGTCCTGTTCGCCTCTTGACATCCTTTAGATCGCAATAGAGCTATTCTAGCCATGTGATGAATCAGAAACAGCTCCAGTGCATCAAATCAACTGGGATTCGAACCCGGATGCAAAGGATTAAGCTATTCAAGTCATCTCACAGCATCTTTATATCATTCAGCTTTAACTTACCAGAATGTAACGACCTTGGCAACTTACCACTGAGTTTCGGTGCGAGTCTTGTTCATGTCTTAATGGACCCTTGGGTTCACGATATTTGTATTTTCCTCCGTTGCAGGTTCTCCTTGGAGAACCTCCTGTTCGTGAACGGTTCCAGTTCACGAGGAGGCCCTGCTCACATTCAGTTGTTTTGCGCAACCATTGACCGGGAACATTGTACTTTACATGCGGGCTCTTGTATTCTACATCACAGGGTGATCGACTACCTCATGCATGATTTCTCAGCACGGTGCTATTAGGACTGTGTTGAGAGTCTGCATCCACCGAGCATGAATTTGTCTATTTGGAACGATTCTGAAGGTTTCAGCTATTTATGGATATGTATTATTCAGTTACAGTCAACGTGTCAATCATTGTCTTACTTTAAACTATCTGTATACAAATTACACTTCTATGAATAAGTAAAATCCCTTGAACAATAACGTAATAAGTACCAATCAGCCTCTTCCAGATGATCAAACAATAGTAACTCAGTGTGAATTACTTCGAAGTAATCTAAAAGTCAATCAGTGATTCGCCATCACCCAGTTATGCTCCGACAAAGTTGAATGAAATATTTGGCTCCTCACGTTGCTTTCCCAGTCCGAAAATATATGCTTCAACCAAACCCGGAGACACCTAGATGAAATACCAGACTGATTCTCCGGTTGGTGTATTTCATCTTCCTCCAACGTGCAACGCATTTTATCGTTGTGCATAGACCTGATCTGGATAACTATCAGAGTGAGTATAAGCCTATTCGTCAAACCTGTGAACACTAACTCACGTGTGTGTGTGTGTGCTCATGTTCACGCGTTCCTCACGTTGCCCCTGAATGGTTCAAATTCATCTCCAGGGATTTGGAGCTCATGAAACTGCTAGATCTGTATGAGAGATCTGAGGTTTATGTGAAGGATTTATGATCGCACAGAGCTGATTTAAAGTATTCGGATATTTCATAGCTATTTCTATATATCAGAGGTATAAAACAAAACCTCCAAATAGAAGATCGACCATTCAAATGCTTTCTTGCTAGATAGTTTTCGAACAACATCACCTCAGTGTCCGACCATGATACACACTTTCACCTTTTGACACAAAGTATTGCCTCTTATCGCAATAATCGGCTTATTGATATGAACATTCATGAAACTGTGGTGAGTTGCACAACGCCTGATGGATACTCCAATACCCTCCGTTTTTGATTGGGCTAAGATCTATCGAGATTCACTTCCTTCTTCCGGAACATAAACTCATCATACTTTACTAGAAATGGCAAACCTACTTACGTAATGCTTCTGACCAGAAACATATGCTGTCACCCGGAATTGTGCGGGATAGTCTAGTACTTTGCATATCGTTTTCCAGTCTGTCATCATAACCTCCAAGACCAATAGTATCAGATATCAACTATCAACTGACTACCGTGGAACCCCGCTAACTGCCTCACTTGTGGTCTGACAACAACAATTGGCAACTGGCAGCTACGTCTCGTGGAATTAAAAAGTGCGCGGGACGTAGACACAAACAGAGAAAAAGAAAGAGAAAACAGTACCAACTGATCGAAACATGGTGATCGTGTTGTCTTTATTATGGATGACAAAATAGTTCACAAACCAGCAACTGAGATACCCCGGATTGGAAAGAATGTGAAATTTAGTTGTGAGAGACAGGAAGGGAAGAGTAGTTGTGAAGTGGATTGTCCTCACACAGTCCAGTGGTCTTTGCACGGTCCGTTCGGGAGTAGATCCGTTCATTTTGTTACGGGGGTATCATTTTGTCGGACGATTAAATATTTCCGAATTGTGTTGTACTGCTGTCAATAATTTGTGTTTGTTTGTGTATGTGAACAGCATTTTCTTTGAGAAAATGCCGGAAAAAATCAGTCTATCTTCATGAAATCAATGCTATTTTGTCCGGATGAAAAGGAACCGAGGGGACAGATGCAAACAGACAAACAGACAGAGAGAGAGGGGAGGAGAGACAGATGGACAGCGAGGAAGAAAACGGGAAACACGGAAATTGCAACTTTACACTTTGGATGTGGCTTTCCCGCCAAACTCATTTCGACGACGGGTGGGGCTGAGTGGGAAGGAAGGGATGCGTGTCAATGTCAGACACGATCAGTATCCTGTTTTCGCTCTCCTGTTTTAATTGAGTTGAGCTGAACATAATGTTTGGCGGTTCGATTTGGTCGCCAATATATGTAATCATGGTCCAGAGTCCGTCCACTAGACGTATGGACATACAGTCAGGAAGACAGACTGTTTCTATGCATTTCTCCCATCGAACAATCGATCCACCGATCGATCAAGGGATGGTAGGGTTGACCAACGAAGCGATAGAATGTTATTGTTGCCATTATTACACAGGAACTAAACAGATTGACAAACGGCGCACGGTAGGCAAAAAACGGAATAACAAATGCCAATATTCAGAATCATGATAAATGAGAGACAAACTTGGAGTAAAAGGATNAGGTGTGTGTGTGTGTGTGTGTGTGTGTGTGTGTGTGTGTGTGTGTGTGTAGATAAGAACAGAGAACAAGATCGATACGATCCACTCGAATATTTACCCAGTTTGTGTTCTCAAATAGATAGGTGGCCATGAAAACTAAAAACAAAGTGAGTTTTTTGACTGTTTGTGTAATCTTCTAAGATTGGTAGTGGTGGTGACGAGTGTGACCTTGTTCACTTCTGGGTTTGATCAATCCACCCAACCGCTTTGTGGGTATTTCGCATGCTATGGAATGAGCCATATTAACTGAAAACAACAACAGCAACGAACGCAACAACGACACATGTTTGTCTTTGTGTGCGTGTGTGTGCGCTCGCGCGAACGTACATCGCTAAAATATCATGTCACATTGAGCGAATGGCGTTTAATCACTGTTGGTTTCAAATGGGCGCCCTATATCAAATCTTCCTCTGCGGACTCCGCCTTCTGTGGGACATACTGACGTGCAGTCATCGGTGCGTGTTGACCTTCACGCGGTGGTGGTGGTGGTGGCGGTTGAGACGGAGCAGACGGTTGTCCCTTGGTTGTGGTCCGTTTTGTTTCCTCAGCCGGGGATACATTACTCTGACTGCTTTCCATTCGGGATGATGTACTACCGCCATTTCCACTCAGATTTTGGTGGAACAAACTCAGAAGATCTATGGGAAGCGGGAATATGATAGTGGAATTTTTCTCGTCTGAGATGCTGCTCAATGTTTGCAAATAGCGCAGTTGTAGTGCGATTGGGCATTCACCAATTTCCAAGGCGGCCGCTTTCAGGGCCACCGAGGCTCGTTGTTCACCCTCAGCCGCAATTACCTTAGCCTTAGCTTCTCGAGCAGCCTCGGCCTCAGCGGCCATAGCACGTTGCAGTTGAATAGGTAAACGAACATCTTTGATATCCACCCGTTCCACTTTGACACCCCAAGTTTCGGTGGCTGTGTCCAAACAGTCTTGCATTAGATGTGCTATTTGCTCACGAGCAGTTAACAATTGGTATAAGTCCACTGTACCCAGAACATTTCGTAAAGTGGTTTGAGCTAGAAGTCGTGTTGAACGATTAGCGTCTTCCACATTAACCACAGACATAACTGGATCAAATATACGATAATACACGACGGCATCCACGGCGACTGTCACGGAATCCTTCGTTAAAACTTCTTGCGTGGGCACATTAAAGGTAAACGTACGTAAGTCGATGGTTTTCACATTATCCAAACAGGGCAGAATGAACACTAAACCGGGACCTTTGGGTATCTCTGACACAAGTCTACCGAGGCGAAACACAACTGCTCGTTCGTATTGGGCAATCACTTTGAGACACATGAACAATGAGAATGGTAGAGTCAAGAGAGCGGCCAAATAGGCTAACAACTGCATGGCAGCTTCACAGCCGAACATACCTTTGTTTCCTTGTTTCTTGTAAGAGCCTCGTTTTCCAAGCCGTTCGGGGACTAGAGAAAATCCGCGAGCCAATGATGGCATCGCAGTGGGAACTCGGAGTTGTGTAGATTCGTGTGGGCGATCGGTGTTCAATGAACCAACATCTGTATTATTATTATTATTGTTTCCATCCAAATGACCACGTGCGGATTTTTCACCACCAGAATCCATTTTCTGACCACTTGGGGAACCTGCTGTAGTATCCGTGGCAAAGGAGACTGAGGGCATTTTTCCCCCGTTCAGTCGTTCAGGAGGATTGTTTTCAGTACTATGCACCCTTTGCAGGGATGTAACACTTTGTTGCCGGAGAAACTGTTAGCATGTTATGTTCTGATAAAAATCTGTCCAGTTAGTAGTGGGGTTAGAACACGTGTGGGTATTATTAATCCGGTTTTCTTTGTGATAATCTCCGTCTGTGCATACTGCGCCGGAAAAAGAACAGAAACAGTTACAACAATGCAAATATGAAAGGAACGGAACAAAAGATAGTCCGGTTAACAACCCCACACGGACACCTGGTCTGTCACTCGGTGCGGTACGGTGCGTACGTGCGAGCGTAACGTGTGTGCGTACGTACGCACGAGAGGCAGTGGCCGGTTTCATTCCGAATTGTTTCGGATCAATTGAGCGCCCCAAATCCACTTTCCCAAAATCTTGACTGTGATTGGTTGTGTGTCTGTACCACTCGCGATCATCTCATTTACCCCGCTCTCTGCACTTCATCACGTGCACGTGTTTGTTGTTGGGTTGGCCTATTTACGACGTACAGAGGCACACGTACACAGCTACGAAACATCCGTCCACAGACACACGTGCGCAGTTTCCCCATATGCAATCTAGCATTATCTTTGTGTGTATGTGTATGTACGTAGATCGCTGGATGAGGCCTACGCAATGACGGTCAGGGGTGTTCGATCGGAGTTTTTGCTGGTGAGGTCGCAATGCCATCTCTAGGGATATCGAAATTCTGTTGGACGTGTAGGTTGGTGGAGCATCGCATAAGGCGATTGGATTTGTTGTCCCCTTGTACTTCAACTTCGTGACACGACGATTCGTCTCGTCGACGGACCGCCACAAATCTACTCATCCATTCACTCTCACAAACACACTGTCACACCTGTTCACCAAGAGAGAACGGTAATAGTCTGCTATGAAACAAGTGTCTACGACACAAACGAGCGGTTAAAGATAGCTTGTTTGTTCATCGGATTTGGGGAGGGGGTACACGTGTGCGTGCAGCTGTGTATGTATCGATGGTGATGTAATGTCGGGGTAAGGTAACAATGATCACTTACACATATACCCTGCCAAAAAAGGGAAATAGTTTCCCAGGAAGTTTAATTTCTGGTGACGTTTTTAAGGTATCGGTGATCAGTGGAAGGAGCGTTCAACATATAATTAGGGCTCAGCTTCAGTTCTGTTTCCTACAAACCATGACTACCATCTGATCAGCCAACTGTTCCCAGGTATACTTATTCCATCAAACTGATCTGAATAATTAGGGGTTGGGTAATTCAGTCAGTGCAAAACTTCTCAAGCCCTAAAACTTTGTAGATCTGGATGTACACCTAGAAAGCTTAGGTAATTCAAAATTTAGACCATTATTGATATCGGTTGAAATAACTGTCTTTGTGCCTCCTAGCTTTCAATTAACGCATCGTCTGCTCCGGATACGATGAAATCTACCATCTAATCGAACCAAATACTCCACTTCTCCCATGCTTATCTTTATTGTATCATTTTTTACTAATCGAACATTTTCAAGATTGGAAAACCATACTGGATAGCTGTCCGATTCGATTGGGACACGTCTCAAAAAAATACTCGGCTGAAGGTGGAAGCCCGTAACCCTTAGCCAAAGGTGAAGTTCATCAATTTCAGTTCATGATTGCATGAATTAATAAAAAACTCACTAAAGATAGACGTAATCCTTAGTCGATTCAAACTGATAAAGCAAAAGTACGCAACAAAATGCAGCTTGCCTGTATGCAAATAGCTGTTTATTCATATTTAACTCACAGTTAGCTGTGAGTAGTGGTGAGCAGTGATGGTTGCTGCCAGGCCAAATGAACTGAATGGCTCTCACCTGAACAAACATGAACTGGTAGTTCGGTCCAGCCCGGGTATGAGCTGGTTGGTACAGTGGTAACGCAACACGCCTTCCATGCGACGGATCCGGAGTTCAAATCCCGGATGGGATGGTGGATTATGCAGTACTGAAGAGCTCTAATAAGAGTGATACTCCAGTCTAGTGGTTTGGAGTGCATGGTGGAATCGATGAACTGAGGATTGTGCTTGAAGGGAAAGTCCGAAGGACAGCCAGTTAAAATCAACAAATAACTGTTTGTTCTTTGCATCGATGAGCGTACATCTGCCAAAATTATTAATAAATTCATTTAGTAGTAGCAGTATGAGTAAGTAGTATTCTGTGTAATACTAATGGTAATAGAAATGTTAGTCTTCGTGATGATGGTAGAAATGTCCATAAAAGAACCCAACAGAACAATTCCCTAGCGTGATTTCAGTCTTGGCAAATGACTTTGGCCAGTAGAAGTAACGTTATGATTGTTAGGTATTGATCGCGTGGTTCTCAGTGAAGATTTCGCTGAACGGCTGAACGAGCATGTGACTTCCTCATTTAGCACAACCAATTGCGATATGTTTGAATGATCTGGGAAATGCTTAACAAAACGTTTGTGATTCCATAGCGCATGTTGTTGCAGAAGCCTAACTGGTTCATTTCTCAAAGAAAGAGGAGGCAATAATATTTCGGCGTGAAGTATCATCATTTTGAGGGGTAAAGAAGGAAACTTTTCCAAAAATTTACTTTCACAATCCAGAAATCAAACTATATAAAAAACATCCTTGTAAAACATTCATATGCACATAAATTTTCAATTCAAATGTAGATAGAACATCGTCGGACAGTACGAGTTGTGTACTTTTATTGTGTCACTAGTCTCAGTAAACTGGCCGTACCACAAAATTTTATTCTTAAATTTGTGAGTGCCTGCTTTCTTCCACACTGGCTATACTGCTCCCCGATTTTTCTTCCTGGACTGAAAGAAAAAGACTACTTTGTTTTCGAGATCTCTTAAACTTTTATCCCGTTGCAGTGGAGTTGAAAGAGTTGTTTTAGCTGATTTTTTAAATTTCCAAGCATCTTAACGCTTGTGATACATTCATTGATAGGATAACATGCGTTCAAGGCCACTGCCCAGACCAAGATATCGCGAAAGCCGTATAGAATATCTATTCCTTCTTGCACATACTTCCACATATCGAAACAATATAATCCCATATTTAACTAGGCTACTAGTTAATCGTCAGAATATTCTCACCCGTCTCAGGGAAAACTCGTGCGCAAATTTTCTCTCATTTACTAAAGTGTAGAATTTTTATATCGTCCTTTGTAGATACAATTGGTTTTATCCATCCACTGTAAAAATCGTTAACTGTTGAAAATTCACCCTTTGGGTGCCTAAAGCTGTTTTTGACTTTATTTGATTTGACTTGGCTTTAGATTGGAACAAACTTGTGCGGCTTGAGTCATTGACAAATAGTGTTGCGCTTCCTCTATAGTAACGTAGAGAATCGCATCCATATTGAAAATGAATTCAGTTAGAGGATTCTGTACCCGAGATGCTAAAGTCAATGACGGCTCAAGCATAGTTCAAAGCATCCAAACGTTGATTAGTTTTCAAATGAAATATGCAGAACATTACTGAAACAAAACAGAGAAGACTGTGGAACAAAAAGAGATGTTCAATTATCATGAATGCTTTTCCACCTTACTGCACAAAGCTTTCAATTTTCTTGCACTAATTTGTCCTGAAACCGCCTGTTTAAAATACCATTCGACTTGTCT